AGCTGGTCACTTTTATGAACATTGTTTCCTATTTGCGGCCGAAGTTCGTTTTGATGGAAAATGTGGTGGATATACTGCAATTTGCCGAAGGATATCTAGGTAGGTATGCGGTGAGCCGGTTGGTGGCTATGAACTACCAGTCTCGGCTGGGTATTATGTTAGCAGGTTGTTACGGGCTTCCACAGTTCCGCATGCGCACCTTCCTATGGGGTGCCCTCACTACAATGGTTTGTTTTAATATTCTTTGTCACTTTCAGTTTTTGTTACAAATTTATTTCTGAGATGATTGATCAGTTGTATTTGGATATGCAGGTGCTACCAAAACATCCTCTCCCCACGCATAATGTTGTTATACGAGGCGGGGCGCCGAATGCATTCACGGTAAGCAAAACCATAATAAAATTAAGACCGTAATGATATCCTATGAGAAGTGAAAATATGCTGACGAGCTTATTTTTTTGTTGCAGCAAAGCATTGTGGCATATGACGAAACTCAAAATCCAACCTTGAAGAATGCCTTGGTTCTTGAAGATGCGATCTCAGATTTACCGAAGGCATGTATTTACTTGACTTTTATATGCCATATTTTCCACATATAGTCTTACATCTGTTATGCAGGTTGGTAACGATCAAGCTGATGACGTACTTGAATACCTTGTGAAACCAAAGACAGAATTTCAGCGCTACATTCGTCTTAGCCGTAAAGGTAACTATATAGCTCTTTTGATAAGACGAATATGTGCTCATCCTTTTTGTTTGCGGAAAGTCCTTTCCTTTTGCATTTCACATTTCAGTTCTGTTTATGCATTTAAACTATTATTTTTTATTAATGTTGTTCCAATGTTCTAGAAATGTTGGACTACTCATTCGGTGATAAAACCGGTCCTGGAGAAGGCAAGCTAATGGATCACTGTCCTCTGAAGTTGAATAAAGATGATTATGAGCGCGTTAAGCAAATACCATTTAAGAAGGTCGGTGGCTGAATTTTTCCAAATGTTTCTCGCGTGATCACTCCTTTTTCCCTTTGTGAAAATTTTGAATTTCTCGCTTAGGGAGCCAACTTCCGTGACCTGGAAGGTGTAAGAGTAGGGCCAAACAACGTCGCTGAGTTTGACCCTGAGATTCCACGAGTTTACCTCGAGTCCGGCAATCCATTGGTACGCATTGCACCGCCCAATACCATCAGGACTTTTCTAGTCTAGTCACAGTTGCTGAAGATTGCATGTCTGAATGGCCAGGTCCCCGAATATGCAATCAAGTTCAGGAGCGGCAAGTCTCTCAGGTTAGTGCCTTATATATGTTGACCGTTTTCTTTTCTGAAACTATGCTAGGTCGTTGGTGCCGCTCTCAAGATACGTGCCGCGATGCATTTACAGGCCGTTTGGACGGCTGTGGTGGGATGAGACGGTTCCTACAGTGGTGACCGCTGCAAGGCCACACAGCCAGGTCAGCTTTGTCACAAGCCACCTCAGTGTTCCTGATCTGGCCATTTAGGAAGCACGCAACCCTTTTGTTCGGTTTCGACCGTGTCAGGTCTAGAATCTCTAAACGTGTTTCGTGTCGCCGCGTGCAGAGAATATTACACCCGGGCCAGGCCCGGGTTCTGACCGTCCGCGAGAACGCGAGGCTGCAGGGATTCCCGGATTACTACCGCCTGGACGGTCCCATCAAGGAGCGGCAAGTTTACGAACTGCTCTGCTAGTCGTGCTTTCCTCGTAACTCAAGACTGAAACTGAACATCTGTTGGTCATGAAATGAATCCTGACTGGTGCTGGCAGGTACACGCAAGTCGGCAACGCGGTGGCGGTCCCTGTGGCCCGGGCCCTGGGGTACTCGCTGGGCCTAGCGTACCTGCGCAAACACGACGGGAGCGATGACGGCCCGACGCTGGTGTTGCCCGCCAACTTCTTTAGCCCGGGGCAGACCGAGGCCGCCGTCGCGCCGGCAGAGGCAGACGAGGTTGCAGAGGAGTAGGACACGGAGAGCTCCCGTTGCTGCTGGTCTGTTGAACTGGGGCCATTTCTGAAATTGAACTAGGTTGCCGTGATTGGCTAGGGTTGGAGTTTTACGATTGGCTAGGATTCGAGATTGTGTGTTTTTTTCCTGCTTTGATTGTATTTTTCTCAACATCATCATTGGTTCCCAATTGATGATTTCCATCAGTAGAGTGGTGGTCATATGTCTGTTTATGAATAGTCGAGTTTGTGCTCAGCTCAAGTTGCATCTCATGGTGCCTGTGGTGAATCATCTGATGTTTGTCCAGTAACCATTCACACGTGGAGAAACCAACCGATCTCTCGTCCCACACTTGTGTTTGCAATGTGGGGTGCAACAATTTCATAAAAATCTCTAGGTGACTATGTAGGTGTAATGATAAGAGGGAAGTGGTGTAAGTCTGGTACCGCCCTAGATTTGGAAAAGGAGTTGGACCTTTTTATAAGGGTTCCTCTTTCAGATGCTATTGGAGCTTGACAAAAGAAGTGGTTCCCGTTGCCTGCCTCACGCCATGCGCGCGCGTCGTGTCTTGTAAATGAACCCCAGATTATTTTTCACATCATCTTTTTTTCACTATGATACCTACGTTACTTCCATTATGATTATTCTGAAGTGAAAACACTCTTCTACTTGTGAGCACCGTGAACTGTCCATTCGAAGAAATGGCGAGAAAATCCATTAAAAAAAAGTTGTTTATTTATGCCAAACATTGTTGAATGTTTCCTGTGCTTGCAAATTCCCCTGGTAGAAAGAGTATTTGTAAAGTTCCATCATGTAGTGACATTCACAGAGTCATGGCAGAAATAAATAAATTAAATTGACGCTCTAAAATGCTTTCAAAAATCACTTCTGCTTCGGTACAACCCCCCTGAACACATCAATGGCTGAGATTACTCCCTACCCCTTCATAATAAAGGGTATGAACAAAGTTGAGAAAACATATTTTGAAATTTGAACAAAATTTCAAAACATGAACAATTTCTAAACATCTTTCAAAACATGAAAAGTTTTAAAAAATTGTGGTTTTATTTTTTGGGTTACTAATTGTCGTCTTTTCCTTCTATTTTTTCTCTTTACTTTATTAAAATTCATGAACTATTTTTAATTTGTGAACCTTTACTAAAATCCGTGAACTTTTAAAATTTGTGATTATTTTCTTAAGTTTACAATCTTTGTTTTCAAATCCATGAACTTTTTTCCAAATCTACAAATTCTTTTAAACTTTTACGAACAATTGTCAAAGGCCGCGATTTTGTTTCAAATCGTCAACATTTCCTTTCAAAATTGATGAACTTTTTTTAAGTCGGCGAACGCTTGGGTCGGCCCAAAAGGCACCCGACGGGAGCGATGTCATCGCCTAGTTAAAGCAAGGCCTAAGTCTATTTTTTATTTTCTAGTTTTTTTTCTTTTCTTTTTTGGTTGATTCATTTTTCTCCCTTTTGAACTTTATAATTAGAAAAAAAAAACTAAATGTGCACGGATGCGCACCCATCTGGCCTAGTTTATCACACTCCTCTCAACTGTTATTTTTTTGACATGGATAAAAACCCAACTTCTTGCAGCAGTCTGACATGGATATATGAGGCATCCATGCCAGGTTTGAACGATTTTCGACACTATTTGCACGTTGCGGCATGTCCGGCCATTTATCGGCCCTTTTTCACGAGAGAACTCTATAAAATGCAAAACTTGTCAAAAATCCGAACAATTTGGCAGGATGCCTTGAATTAATAATATAAGTTGATGTAAAAAATTTGGGGCCATTGGACGGATGTCGAAAAAGAATGTGCTTTCAAAAGGTCCCTTCTAGCCCTAACCAAACACCTTTGGTTGCAAATGGTCTACTTTTTGACATCCTTCAAATGAAACAACTTTGCAAAAGGACCCTTCTAGCCTACCCGAAATCCTTCGTTG